GGGAGGAACATATCGTGAGAGTGATAGTGAAGAGGAAATTTTAGATGAGGATGAACTTGCTCCTCACCCCATTGCCAAAAATAAAGTTTCACCAATGAAGAAAGATACAGAAGCAGATAATGACGGACATGCGCTTTTTTATTTTGCCTTTGAGAATCCACCATCAAATAAAGTACCAGCAAAATTTACAAGGAAGTGCAAAAGCTTAGGAGGCTGAAACAATATTCGCAAAACCAGCGCAACACTGAGGTTTAGTATACAGCAGGATGCGCTGCAACGGAGAAGCCAAATCTCATCTGATGCGCAAATTTTTATGGCATTTATGACTTTGAAATAGTAAAAGATGACTTTAAATCGCTTTAGCAAAAGTATGTTCTTGTTCTTGTAAGAGTTTTACGGCACTTGCAACACAATAAGGTCATATAAGTGCCGAAGATTAGAGATGTTACAAGAGAGTAACAAACATTAAAAAGAAGGAGGGGAGATAAGGATGATAGATTTTTTTTAAATAGGAAAGAAGGAGCAAACCACACCAGAGCACCCGCCAAACACCCACAAAAGTATGTTCAACGCCCTTCAGAGCTTCCAAAACACCAACAACGAATACCTGAACAGAAAACCCACGAAGATTGAAAAACAAAGCAGAAATTACAAATAGCTGGCAAAACCTGGACGTAACAATTACTTGTGTTCAATAGTTTTAATTTTGCTGTTGGTTTTTTTATCGAACTCAAAAACTCTTTTGCACATGTACCGTGTAAGATTTTGAACATAATTATCTGTCAGTGAGGAACAGAGGCCACGAAACTGTCACGATTTCGGGTGGTCTGGGGTGGATTGAACAGAGCCACCTTCGTGAGAATCACCGGATGCCTTGGTTTAGTGGACTACATCGCGCAAGTGCTGGAACGTCATGTCTTGCCCTTATTTTCGTCATGATGTCATTCAAATAGTCATCCCCATGCTAAACAAGGCAATTTTCTCACAGGACCAATGCCATTAGAGCATTATATAAATTAAAAAACCAAATCAAGTCAACATTCGAGTGGTTACCAGTAGACAGCCCCGATGTGAATCCTACAGGTATGTGAAGTCCCATGAAACAGTGGCTGGAGAAAAACGACTTTTCCCCCAGTTCAGACCCTTTGTTTGCAACTCTCTGTGTCATTTAAAATGAAATGACAGATACATATATATATATGTCCAAAATTTCATAGAATCGATGCCCAAAGGTTTGTGCACAACTCAAAGCCAATGGTTCCTCTAAGCAAATTAACAAAAACACAATTAGTGTTGAGTCCAAGTTTTGTGCGGTCTATTTGTGATCTCTTTGTTTTCCATTATATTTGAAACTATCGTGACGAAATATAGTAATAAAATATTGTTTATTGTGCAAAGACAAAATTCTCCATTCACTGGGCATGCAATACACATCGCCTTTCGATCAGTATTGATACTATTCAGTAAATGCGCAAAGGCAATTTTACGTTTCTTTGATTTCGCACAATTTTGCCAAGCCTGATTTTTTTAGGTCAATTTTGAGCGACCATTATCTCGGGCGTCTCTTAAAATAGATTAAATATATTAATGTGTCAGATGATGAAGAATTTATTTTAGCTTTAAAATGGTATGCTGCATAAGTGGGTAATGCAAGGCTTTCACACGATGAGTGGGTGATTACATTTTCAAATTTCTTTAGGACGCAACTTTCTGTAAGTTTTGTGCGTCAAAACTTTGAGGGCTTTTTTCTCAAAATGGGCTCTTTCAAGGGGGGTGGGAACGCAAAAAATCTATCATTAGAAAAGTTCTTAAGATATCTTAATAATTTTTGGTATATAGATCTAGATCTAGATCTACCTGATAGATGAAACATTATTCTATCTAGATCTAGATTTAGTGTAATAAGTAGTGAAGTCAAAAAAACATCTTGAATAAATGATTTTATTATAAATTTAATCCGTTGTTCTGTTATGATCTGAGATTTTCCTGTAAAAGGTATTTCCCTAGTTTGGACCTCGATTCTGAAAAAGTTTGTCCTCTTACATCAAAAATACCAAGTCCATCCACTAAAACAGCCACATAAGGCTGCAAAACCACTTAGACTTATTGTAATATTTTAGAATCATTTATAACCTTAGGATACTAGATCTAGATATTTTAGAAATGTGTACATTTTCTCTCTGTATAGATCTAGAACTATATGTATTGCAATATGGCAGCCGTTACCATAGCAACACAAAAGAATTTTCAATTTTTTTCTTCAAGGCCCAATTCTCCACTCTGCTTATATTGATGCTATCACATTTGTAAGCTTAGAAGTTTCTTCTTCTTAACGAAATCATGCCTTAAAGCCTTACGCCTTACTTAACGTTAAAGAGCTCGACACAGCCGGTAACAACAAATTTTTTAAATCATGTTTGCAAAATACACAGAATATAATCTAGATCTAGATCTACATTCTAGACTAGCAATGTTAAGTGCATACTCAGGGAATACATACTGATTGACTGAAACTGCCTGCACAAGTCCACAAAATCACGAAGAACAAATTATAAAACTCACACACAGCAGTCGCTTTCCCCTTTTATCTGTGACACGCAAGTGGAAGGCTGTGGTTGGACGATGGAGAGACGAATTCAGCAGTTCAGGCAGTTTTTCCTGTTTGTACTAGGCTACCACGAAGCACAAAGCAAAGATAAAACACCAACTTGGAAGAGCGCATGCCTGACTGTTATACGCCACTAATCGCTTTTGTTATAAATAATTGTTGTATTCTCTCGTGAATAGAGAGTTGGGGTTTATATCTATGGTATTCTCAAGGCAGTTATACAGTAATGGAGGCTGCTGTGGGCATCAACGCACACCTGACAGAATCCCTCTCTCGAAGCGCTGCCCGACTCTAGCACTGAAATCTTGAAAAGAAGGTTTTACTCTAAGGCCTTTGAGGTTAGGAAAACCAGAAGACTTATTTTTTGTTTTAAAGCCCATTTGTCTAATTACTATTACTGATGTCAAAATATAGATGTCCTTGCGGCTTCTTATTTTTTAAAAATCCAGCACCTTTTTATTCATGCTTAACAACTACGGTGAATAACTTCGGTTAAAGAAAGATAAAGGAAGGGGGAACGTGGGTGCAAAAGTTTGAGTCTCCTTTAATTTGTATTGTACACGGTTTAATCTGTCATAGTAGTCTCCACCTGAGATTCCATCGTTTATGATCCCGGTTCACTTACCATTCCGTTGTTTAAAGAAAAAAAAAGAAACATCCCCCCAAAAACAACAAATTTTATTACAGAAAACTCACACCAAAGAACCCACTCTGAGTCTGAAGTTCCCGCATTTTAGACTATGTTTTGCTGAGCAAAAAACAATAAAAAATTCATGGATCACCCACTCTCGTACATATATATGTGAGGCAGCGAGGTGGAATCAGGCTCTCGTCAATTTTTAGGCATGTAGAGTTATTGATATCATCTTAAAGCTTGTTCACTTGTCTTTTTTTGGGATTAAAAAAATATCCATTTATCTTTAATACAAGTCGAGATATTTGCGAATGAAGGAGGTGGGGGTCACCTGTTTTCAGAGATACAATTAATGAGAAAATGTCCCCAAAGATTAGCTATTTCCTTAGCTTAAGAGTCCGTGATAACTGAAAAGTAACATTTTTTGCGCCTTTTATCAATGTTTTTCAGAAAAATCCACACAGAAATGTGTTCTTTAATGGGCATGAAAGGTGTTGAGCCAAAAAACAAAAATTTGATTAAAATTCAAAAACCTGAGGAAAAATGCAGGTTTCTTCACTTTAATTATTTTGACGAGAGCCTGATTCCACCACGCTGCCCCACATAATAAATGATCACATCTCCCCTCTGAATTTATCTGTGAGTGATTTATCGCCCCAGATGCAGGGGCCTTAGAAAGGATTACACCCAGGTCTGAACTCTTTGACACCTTTGATGTCTCCAAACATCGAACTACAGCAAGGCATGAGTCGGTAGGCAGGGTCAACAAGGCCGCATCAGGTGGGATCACATCGAACTGTGATTTTATCGGTATTTTTGTTTCCCTGACCTTCTAACAGGTTATATCAGAATTTGCTAAAAATATTTTGCGCGTCTACTCTGAGACTCCCCAATCGCCTTTGTGTAATGTTGAACCAGCCTTTCATTCTTTGAATTTTATTTGTTGCATTTACAAAACAACGATGAGTTAAATTACTACCTGAATATGAGCGGTGATTTCGGTCAGAGATGAAAGAAAGCAATAAATACTTCGATCACAGGTAAAAGGGAGTAGCTATATGAGTGAGATAACGCTTTGTGCATCAATACAGTTTGTAAGCTTTAATTCCATTTTAAAAGACAAAGGATACTGAAATTATTATAATTACCCTTTCAATAGTTAATACCATTGGGGGGGGGGGGTAGGGGTGAGGGGTGAACTAAAAAAGGAAACAAAATTAACGTGCTCAATAATTCATAGACAAAGGCATCATTACAAGCAATCAGTTAAAGCTTATTTGACTCTCTTTTGCTCTATAATTTATAGGCTATATAATGTTCTTGTGGGAAGGCCTTTTACCTATGCTTTCTAGACCTAAGACAACGTACATAGTCCTTTACGTTCACCATAACACATGAAAGCTAGTAATGACACCCCCCTTGAATCATGCAATCATAGTGTCAATTAAATTTCAATACGTATATTGTGGTATGTTTTAATAGCGAATCCTTCCGACAGGATCTTTTTAGTAAGATTTACTCTCCTGTCTATTCAATAATCTTTTGTTACACGGCAGGACAATTGGGTTATTTTTGCTTTTTGCTGTTGTTTTATTTTTTATTAATTTATTTTCTATTTTTTATTTTTAAAATTCTTTTTAATGTTTTGAAATTTATTAATGTAAAAAAATTATTTATTTATTTATTTATTTATCTATTTATTTATTTATTTATTTATTTTTTATTATTTTTTTTTGGGGGGGGGGGGGGGCGGGAGGGGGCCTCCACCTCTACCCTTAACCCACCGCCTTTCTTGATTTTTACTGGCTTTACGACTAGTCAACATTGGGATCAAAACATAAAGTTCATAGACAGCCCTTACCGGAAGTCCCCTTTCCCCTTTTCTTGTTCTCTCTTAAATCTCTTTCTCTCTCTCTACACACGTACGTTCTCTCTCTCTCTCTCTCTCTCTCTCTCTCTCTCTCTCTCTCTCTCTCTCTCTCTCTCTCTCTCTCTCTCTCTTTCTTTCTATCTCTTTCTTTCTATCTCTTTCTTTCTCTCTCCTCTCTCTTTTTTACCCCTCCCCTCTCTCTTTCTTTTACTTTTTCTCTCCCAATCTTACTCTCTCAGGCCTGCCCCACCACCTTCACCCATCTTTATTGCACTTATTCCCCTCCATACCGTAGCCCACTGCGCAGCCCTATTATTATCTTATCCTTTGTAAAGAAAAAAAAAAAAAAACGCAGTTCGCGCTGGGTGACCATAGTTGGCATCATCTTGTATGATCCACTGGGCCTGCTACGCACGGTGCCGTGAAAGAGAGAAAGAGAGAGAGAGAGAGAGAGAGAGAGAGAGAGAGAGAGAGAGAGAGAGAGAGAGAGAGAGAGAAGGGTCCATTTGTTGTAAGGTCTTTGTGTATTCTATAGGTCCCTAAACTTGGTTGTAAATAATCTAATGAAATGCGAGAGAACTGGAACATTGTTTAGTATGAGTTGCATCAACGAGTCAAATGAAGGTGGAATATTTTTTAAAATAAAACAGTGAAAGAAGGGCAGACTCCAAATTAAATTTGGAAGCTTAATGAATGACACCATGCAAGCGAACCTTTTCCACATTCTTTTCTTTTCTGAGTGTACATTTATTTAAGGGGAAATCTTGGAAAAAGATTGTCGGGCTGGGTTTTTTTCTTCAAAAGTAAGGAGTTGCCCTATTTCAATCCCCAAAAAATTAATTAATTTTTGGCCCATACATGTTTGATTTGTCCTTTTCCAGTGGCATGATCCTGGTGAGATCAAGGGAGTCAATCCGTTTCCTCACGTTGTGAGAAGACCAAAGTGGACTCTGAGAGACTCGATCTCAACACCTCAAGAAATCTGACACGTCGAGCACTGATATCTTCATTAATTTGATGATTTGCCTTTATTAAGTAAGTACGTTCTTTGGTCAGCACGTGCAATCGTTCTTTTGTTTGTTTTTGTGTGTAACTCCAGCTCTGATAATGTTCTCGTCGTATGGCAATCTCCGCCTCCATTGTCCTGGTCGCCATTACGGATTCGCGCCTCAACTCACTCCGGGTCTCGCCAAAATATAAGCCTGCAAACGCATTTAAAAATTAGACAAAAGCAGGAATCGTTCACTTCATAATAAGCAGTCAACATCATGACAATAAAACATTTGCTTAATTAAAGAAATAGCTTGAGGGATATTTTTTGGGGGGCCAACGCGACTAGTAACATTGCCTTTATTATTACCGATTCCGTACGCACAGAGCGTGTGGTATGACTAGACTAGATCAAGATCTCATGTCATGAGAAAGACGGAGTTTGTAAGTGTACACTTGTTGAGTACCATGGACTGGGCGTTATACAATCAGTATTCACCCTAGGCCTATAGTATTGAATTCATTAGGGGTACCATTTATCTATGAAATTCATAAATTAAATGAACAGAGCAAGACACCAAAAATAAATCGACCGAAATGGTTTCCTGATCAACTAGATCTAGATCTAGCAAGACAACAGAAAATGCCAAAATTAGTTGTCATCATCAAACGATGTGAAATATAACATTATAACATATCTGGACTGTCTATAATTAGATCTAGATCTAGATAATAGATCTATATTCGTGAAACTTCTTCACTATGGGCGCTAAAACTTCCGAACCACTTGAGCATTTGCCAAAAGGTGGGATACCTGGGTGTGACAAATGAGGTCCAAAATCAACTTTATGTAATAACTCTTTAATCACCCATATTGTATAGCCTAATGATTGCTCTTTCAGGCTCAGTAACTGCCAAAGCTGTATATGCAATGGTCTTGGTGTAATTCTGACTTGAATGACGGAAATAGCAAAAAGTTCGTTCATAACAATGATGACACAAATTTATGAATACTTTAAGTTCCTTTCTTCAGCTAGGCTGATGTTATATTTTGAGACATAGCAAATAACTTCCAAAACTACATAGAATTGACAATTTATAAGAATCTTTATTAATTTTTGATAAAATTACTTTTTTGTGTCATAATAGTTATGAACGAACAATAAGTGACCAAAATACTATCAATTATATCAAGTTTCATCGACTAGAATTGTCTAAAATAACACTCAATTGACTAATTATAGTCAAGTGATAAATGAAAGACCATTAAACAGCTATTTTTAAACGCAAACTGGTCTTAGGGCATATTATGCATAAATTTAAAGTTCGTTCATAACCATTATGACACACTGTTTCGTTCATAACTATTATGACAAATTTTACTTTTGGCCCCTAAAATTTACTTATATTGTTCTGTCTTTCACATAAAACGGTTTTCATTTATGAGGCTTTCCTTAAAATGATAGATTCCTCTATGTAGGGAGAATTCAAAGTTTATATTTCCTGAAAAACCCTTAGAATATACCTTTAAAATGGTTCGTTCATAACAATTATGACAAACTTCAATTTTGACCTAAAAATTTACTCATTTTGATCTGTCATTTTTTAAAAAAAACTTTTATTAAATGAAACTCTCCTCATAATATGTATCTCTGTACATGTTTTTAAAGTTTGTTAACACTGAAAAGCCCTCAAAATATATAAAATGGACTATAAATAGTTCGTTCATAACCATTACTACAAAAGTATAATACTAATACTAATTAAAATCCACACCCATACACTTATGATAAAAATCAAAATATCTGAATGTATGCAAGGTCTATTCTGTCCTTTAGTTGGGTTAAAATTAAAAATACATCCCAAAACAACTGTAAATTACATGGAATTAGGTTTCGTTCATAACCGTTATGACACACTCTTTCGTTCATAACTATTATGACAAATTTTACTTTGGGCCCAAAAAATTAACTTATTGTTCTGTCATTCACATAAAATTGTTTTAATTTATGAGACTCTCCTCAAAATAAGGTTATATGTTGGAAGAATTCAAAGTTTAATCACTGAAAAACCCTTAGAATACCTTTAATTGTTCGTTCATAACTATTATGACAAACTTCAGTTTTGACCTAAAAATTAATATTTTGACCTGTCATTTACTTTAAAATTTCATATTAAATGAAAGTTTCCTCATAATATGTATCTGTGTACATGTTTTTAATGTTTATCAACTCTGTAAAGCCCTCAGAGTACAATATGTAGTTCGTTCATAACCATTACTACAAAAGTAAAATACTAATTAAAATCCAGACCCATACACTTATCATAAAAATCAAAATATCAGAATATAAGCAAGGTCTGATACATCCTCAAGTTGGGTTAAAATTAAAAATACATCCCAAAACAACTGTAAATTACATGGAATAAGGTTTCGTTCATAACCATTATGACACACTGTCACGTTCATAACATGATGACAATCCATTATGACAAGCATATTTTTGCCTCTCCTTCGCTTCTCTTTTGAGTCATCAGCACGATACTCTTCCATGTTCATTCCACCATGTAAAAGGATGTTGTGAAACAGTGGGAAGTCCCTCACATGATATTTTGCAGAAATATCATAAAGTGTTTGTTCATAACATCATTATGACAAACCTGGATTATCTCAATCAAAGTCATATTTAAGCAAAACCATGCGATGGAGCGGAAAATTACCCTTCTGATGGATCAATGTCAAACCAATATTTAATACCGGTCATTTCCCGGGATGATATGTTTAACGATTTGGGTTTTCTAGACCTTGGAAAGTCTGATGATGTAATTATGACACGAGTTATGAACGAACTTATAAATTTTACTCAGCAATAACATCATTAATATAAAAAAATAAAACCCTTTTAATGGACACACGCTGTTATGATGGTGTATACAAACTATTTTCAATGTTTGAATGCACTACTGTTTGATAGTTTAAGATTAACAATATTCTGTATTTAAGATACAATTACGTGTGCACTCAGGATGAGTAAAAAATGCCCTATTTTTAGTACTATTATCTTTCTATGTAGAGATATAAGATGCACACATCAATCCACTTGCTCATGCAGCTTGACCAACTTATTTCCTTGCCATATGCATAAAGTTTTCAGAAGAAAACATATTTTACCATGAGTAGTGGTTGATTAAAAAAGTCCTCATGCAAACACCCCCACCTTTTGGCAAAAGCTCACTTAACTTTCGAATCTGATAAAATTAACAGTGGTTCAGATTCATTTTAAAGGGTGCACAGTTATTTAAAGGAGTCTGAAGTCACTGTAGTTTAATTTTAAGTTTTTCATTAGTTTCGTTAAGGTCTAATCTTGGGAAAGTCTGCCGTCTAAGATGCCTTTGTAAACAAATGAGGGTTCGGTTCACATGAAGTGCGCACTGAACCCACAATGACTTGACGAAGATTCTTTTGAGTCTGTTCTCATCTAACGGGGTACCCAGCTACTGCTAGCCTAAATATTTATTTTAAAATCGTTATATTTAGTTTTAGAATCTAAAAACACAACAAGCTAAAGACTTGAAAAAAAAAATTAACCCATTCATTGCCGTAGTACAGTCCACACTTTGCCCGCAGTTTTTTAAATATTTATAACTATTTCATTTCAATTTCACTCCACTGTCACATAAATATATATAGTTTGCATTCGCTAACAACTAGAAATAACGTCATCATGATGTCACTCAAAGCTCAAGTGAAATTACAAGCTCTATAATTCACCAAAAACGAAAGTCTGAAGGACTCTCTTCTGAACTGTCCTTTTTTTTGTTGTGAAATGATTCCCATGGATAAAAAGTTTGGATTCTCGAGATAGTTCAAATAGCGAACTGTATCTAAAGTCTTAAATATTATATAAAATGCAAAGTATCATTTTCGATGCAGTCAAACCTATGCTTGTAAGATGGCTACATATTGTCAGTTATTGTCGAGGAAAGGTGCCTGCTGTGTAAGACAAGGGACCGGCATACGCAGGGCTGCTGTTAAAGGAAAACAATCCATACGTCTGAGATCCAAATGGAGGTGGTCGTATGTAGGACTGTTTAACATGTTTACAGCTCTAATAAAAATGCTTTTTTTGTAATAGGAGGAGGGGATAGAAAGGTTTCTTGTAGGGTTTTTTGTTATTAGATCTAGAAATCTAGTTATTTATATTTTTAAAAAATTATTGTTTCGTGCAAGTTAAAACTTTAATGTTTTGGAAGAGGAAGACAGAATGCCAAAACAAACAAATGGGTCACCACTACTCGGCGAAAGAGCAACACTTACAACTGTTGACATCATGTACTGGGTAGGCCGAAACAGTATCCTCTTATTTCATCTCATATTTGTGTATGAGCTGTGGGAGGGGCTTATTAGGAGGTTATCATGTTTCTCTCACTAGCGGCTGAAAATTTATAAATTTTTACTGTTTGGTAGACTTGGAGGGTAAACTAGTGACCTAAGTTTTGTTTTAGTTTAAGTAAGAGTTTTTACGGCATTCACAACTGCATAAAAAAGCTAGTGACCTAAACAACACGATCATTGAAAAACCCAGGTGAATGGATTATAACGGCATATCCACTATGTCAGTGGCCAATACATAATTAATGACAAAGTCACAGCGTCAGGTGATAAGAGATTTTTGTGCCTTAAGCCGACAAAACGCCATTTTTCATTTTGGTGCAAAAAAATGTTTTTCACAAAATGGAAAGCCCGATTAGTTACCCTACTTTTGTGAAAAAATCAAAATGAAATTGACTAGTTTTTGAAAGAATTATTCAAATTTGAGAAGTACTCTATTTTCCAATGGTTTAAAAACCCATTTCTCAAACCAGCTGTGAATTTAAAAAAAAAGGCATTTTGTCAGCTTGTGGCAGATTTGCATTGCCATCTTAAGCATGTTTTTGGGTTATAGTTGAAAAAATATGGTGGCTCTGTCCGCATTGGACAAGTGTCCGTTTTACACACTGAAATTATAGAAAAAACGCAAGCGGGGAATGGAAAGTGGCCGTTTGTACAGGTGGTTGTATCATACTGGTGGCTGTCATGGCAGGTTTGACTGTATTTTACAGAGTCGTGATTTGTTGACATGAAGGATACAGAGGTTTTCGGAAGAATAGGGTAAAACTCAAACGTGCATTACTAAAACTTGTTCTTCAAATTCACATAGCAATTACACACCAAAATTCTTTACCTTGGCATTAGTCAGATTAAAGTAAATGCTGTCAGCAAGCTGTTAAACTTAAGTCCAGAAGAATTTTTTTTTTTTCAGGAGAGGAAAAAATGTTTCATTCTTCTAACAGTTGTATCTAGGCCTACATTTGTATTTTATTAAAAAAAAAATTTTTTCAACATTTAGAATTCAAATTTTTGCAAAATATTTCCTTCGTACATGCACCCAATAAAATACCGGGTACTGACAGATTAGGAAACTGCAATTTTGAAATATTTCGAAATTTTTTGCTTAGACTAAAGAGCCTACATTTTAAGAGCTGGCCGATAATTTGTATATATATATCTTTTAAGTATGAAATAGCAGTTCAGGAAGTAGATTCACCTCATATGGATCATGTAGACTGAAATATATATATATATATGCAGTATGATTAATACAGTCAAACCTGTGTAAGACGGCCACCCGTTGTCAGCACACCATAGTACCGAGACAGCGTTACTTAGGGTCTGTACTGATATTTTAAAATATATTGATGAAAAAAAGGTATGTCTTCTTACTCTTTTGGACCTTTCGGCTGCATTCGATACCATTGATCATGGTATTTTACTCGAGAGATTAAATACTACTTTTGGCATAAAGGGTACTGTCCTGCGATGGTTTGAGTCATATTTTAAGGATCGAACACAAGCAGTTGTGGTTGGAAACACGTGTTCTAATAATGTTTTGCTTAGATGTGGTGTTCCTCAGGGGTCTGTTCTTGGACCTGTCTTGTTTACAATGTATACACAACCTATTGCTGATATTTTAAGACAATATGGCATGAATTACCATCTTTATGCTGATGACACTCAAATTTATAAGTCTATTGATTTCGATCAAATACCACTTTTAGTCGACTCTACTGAACAATGTACTAGAGATTTAAAAATATGGATGACCAGCAATAAATTGAAACTAAATGATGACAAGACGGAAATAATGTTGAGTGGAAATACAAAAGCCATTAAAAATCTCCCAGAGCTACAAATTGATATTAATAACCATACCATTCGTTCAAAAAGAAGTCTTAAAAATCTAGGGGTTCAGTTGGATTATGATATGTCTATGTCCTCCCAAATAAGCCAGCTCAGCAAAAGTATTTACTTTCAGCTTAAGAAAATTGGCAGTGTAAGAAATTATTTAACTAAAGCAGCAGCCAAGACACTTGTAACAACACTCATTTGATCAAAGTTAGATTACTGTAATGTTATTTTGTCCGGTTTGACATCCGAAAAACTATCAAAGTTACAAGTACTTCAAAATCAAGCAGCAAAATTGATAATGAAACAAAAGAAATCAGCCCACGTAACACCAATTCTGAAAGAACTACACTGGCTGCCAATAAAAGAAAGGATTAAATACAAAACTGCCGTTCTCTGTTTTAAATGTATAAATGATAGTGCACCTTTTTATCTTAAAACATTCCTGGAATTATATAATCCACCTAGAGCCCTTAGATCAGCCTCTGACAATCTAATTCTTAAAACTCCAAAACAAAACTACAAAACATACTGCGAGCGTTCCTTTTTGTTCTTTGGTCCCCAGGTATGGAACGAAATCCCATATAAAATAAGATCTGCCCCAACAATTTCTATTTTCAAAAATCAGCTGAAGCATTTTTTATTCACAAAAGCATACCTGTCATAATAATGTACTGTGATATATATGCATGTGTATGCCAGACTGTGAGACTGAAGAAATAGCGAGTGAGAATGAGAGAGAGAAAAAGAGAGAGATAGAGAGAGAAAAGAGAGAGAAAAGAGAGAGATAGCGAGAGAGGGAGAGAGAAAGAGAGAGAGAGATAGAGGGAGAGGGAGAGAGAGAGAGGGAGAGAGAGAGAGACAGACAGACAGAGAGAGAGAGAGAGAGAGAAAGAGAGAGAGAGAGAGAGTGGAAATGTTTTTCTATCTGTATAGAATTAATGTTTTAATGAATGTTTCTAGTTACTCACGTTTCAACTGTATTTTGACTGTTCGTGAATTTATATTGCATTGTATATTTTTAGTGAACACATTTTCAACCTCACTGCGAGACTGTTTTTCTGGTATAAAATTTTACACATATGCATTTATATTATATGTATAATACTTTGTTTTACGTAATGTCCTGTTATATCCGATCCCTGTTAAATCCGAAATGCAAGGAAAGTGAGCATTTGTGGACTAATCCAGCTGTAGGCCCCAACTTATTCATGGGTAGTTTCCTTTGCCACAAGTACCCACGAACAGGGGTTTTGGCACCAACTTTCTCCATTGCCTCACATCAGAAGAGCTTGGTCCACAGCATCTACATCGGGTAGTCTCATCTTCTTTCGATCCAGAGCAAACTTTCCATTGCCACTATCTTCTCTCTATCCTTGATAATGGTGTGAATCGACCCTTGTGGAATGTCGAACTGACGATAAATCTCTGCCAGTGGAGCTTGCTTCTTGTCAACAGCCTGGATTATTTCATATTTTTTGTCAATTGAAAGGCATTTTCTCGTGCGCTTGACATCGTTGGTGACACATTACGTGTGTGTGTTGCTAGATCTATGTTTTGGGCTAGATCGAGGTCTGTAGCACACTGTTGCAGCCCTCTGTTGCTTCACACGCTGCGTGTGCTTGCAGTGGCATGGCTTGCATGGGCTTGCTCCATCACTGCGTTGCTCTCTTTCTCTCTCTCTCTCTCTCTCTCTCTCTCTCTCTCTCTCTCTCTCTCTCTCTCTCTCTTACTTTTTACACATTGTAACGAGCCTTTGTTCCTGCTATAAGCGGTTGGGCTGCGATGAGGCCCTGTTATTGCCGATAACTTTTAATAGAGACAAAGAGTAGAGTAGGAAAAAACGGGGGATTTAAAAAATCCCTGTTATTACCGGATCCCTGTTATTACCGGACCTGTTATATATGGTTTCCACTGTACCTACCTTCCTGCTTTTGCTGGAGAGTTATACTTTTGAAAAATTTGTTTTAAATTTACTTTACTTGAGAAACAGAAATTTACAGACTCCTGCTCTATTCACTTGTAATTCCTGGCCATTACTTGATGTACAATATGTCATCAAGAAAGACTTTAAATGCATAATTTAGCTGGTCTGATAAAATCTGGAACGTGTCACTAAACACTGAACCGAGATATTGGCAAAAGTAGTCAGCGAGGTCAGTTCTAGTCAATTCTGAGTGATGCATACCAGGGGGATTTCCCTAACCGTTTTAGAATACATGTATAATTCAAGAGCTGTTTCTTGTTAAAATTAATTTAAAATATTTTTAAATCTGTTCGAAACCTGATAGCCATGGAAAAATTTTCTTCTGTAATATTTACTACTTTCACCTTTTTTGTTGTTCTTTAGACGTGTCCTGTCATCTGCTTTCATCTCCTTATTCTTTCCTCTCATTATTGCGTTCATGTGTTTCTCTTTACTAAAACAAACAAGCAATATAGGACAATTTTTAATGCAACAGTTTGTTTATTTTGTTTCTTCACAGATTCACCTTTGACTTCACCATCAAGATCATTGGTTCTGGGTTTGTCTATGGTGACTGAAAAACGAACTGGAAATGACGGAAGAAACCATGCAGTACCAGATTGAGGTTCAGGAGGGTTCTGGAAACGGAGAGGTTATCATTATTTACAACTGTGACAGTGAAGAAATTACGCCCGAGTTGTTGGCGAACACCTTGACAGAGTTGTCCAAGCAGGCTGCAACACAACAAACAGCGACAAAACTTCCAAGTGAAAATGACCAATCTCAGCCTCAAGAGTATATTCTTAGTCAAGACATGGCTGACACATCGGGCCAGTTTGAACTTTCACTTGTTGATCTACCATCTGTTAAGGTAGAGGAGCCAGGCACTCAAAGCGTCACTATTGAGGGTTCCCAGTTTCAAAATGAAATCTTTCTTGAAACTCCTTTGGAAGTGAAAGATGAAAGACTTGATGAAGCCGTAGGTTTGGAAACTGGCCTAAGCAATTCCGTCACTGAGCAGATTCAGATTTTGGGAGGTTTAAAACCTGAACTGGAGCCTGCCTTTGAAGGTCAAGCTACAAATACGTTGACTCATTTTTTGGTTGGTGAAGAAGCAAAGGAGCAGCAGTTTGTGGGTACAGATGAGGAGGCAAATGCAACCCAGTCTTGTGACAATTCAACTAATGACAAGAGATATGATGTTCTTCCGAGTACTACATCTGAAAATGAAAGTGCTCCTTTAGAAGTCAAAGAGGAACCTGTGTTGTACTCCTGTCACCACTGTGACTATTTTAGCCGTGTGGAACTAGAAGTGCAAAGACATTTAAAAAATGAGCACAATGAGGAAGAACCATTCAGGTGTTCCATTTGTCATAAAACTTTCAAAGTGGAGCTGAGCCTTCAGATCCATTCATTAATGCATGGGGGTAGTGCTGATTCCCCCACACCTGATATAGACTTTGGATTCAATGTGAAAAAAATCTACACCTGTCCCTTATGCGATTTTGAATACAAAAGCAAAATAAAGATCACAAATCATGTCAAGAAGGAACATAAAGGTGAAACTGTGTACAGATGCTCCAAATGCCCATATGCCTGCCTGACCTCGGAGGAACTGAAGTCTCACGAAACATCTCCGAAACACGACGATGAAATGAAAACTCTGTGTCCTCAATGCGGTATTTCATGTAAGAACATTCGAAGGCATATCAAAATTGCTCACAATAATTCAAGGCCTTACTTGTGCACAGATTGTGGTTTCAGAGCCAAATCAATTACCAATCTCAATGCTCACACTGTCATACATTCTGAAGTGAAGGAAGTGAAATGCTCATTGTGTGATTATCGTTGCCATACCAAAAATCAGTTGGATAGGCACATGGTTCGGCATTCATCTGTGAAGAAATTCAAATGTTCCTTTCCTGATTGTGCCTTTGCTTGTAAGACACAAGGCAGCCTGAAGAGGCACACTCAAATCCACACGTCTGGTATCAAATATGCATGTCCAATCTGTGATTATTACGCACGGGACCGTGCAGACCTGAAGAAACACAAAATTTCACAGCACCCGAGAAATGTATCTTATGATTGTAAGGAATGTGGCATGTCCTTTGAAAGAGTTGCTGAGTTGAAAAAGCATTCGTTGGCAATTCATCGGAGCAATAAGATTTGCTTTTGTGCTTATTGTGATTATTCTTGTGAGACACCACAGGAACTCAGAGACCATATGCAGATTCACTATGGGAAATACTCCTTTATTTGCAATGTATGCGGATATACATGCAGACTGAAGTCATTATACAAGCGGCACATGGCTCGGCATAACAAGGATAAAAAGTTTGCATGTCCAACCTGTAATTATGCCTGTGCTGAGAAAGCAGACTTGCAGAAACACCTGACATCAAAGCATTCTCAAGAAAAACCCTATGCCTGCCCTCACTGTAACTATAAGTGTAAATTTCAAGCTCGACTTAACAACCATATAGCTTATGTGCACAGTGATTTGAAACCATATTTTTGTAAATTGTGTCCTTATACCGGGAAGTCTGCTGAGAACCTCCGAAAACATTTAGGGACCCATTCTGGGTTGGTCAAAACAATTCAGTGTGTGCTGTGTGACTATGCTACTGCTGAAAAAGCTAAACTCAAAAGGCATATGCAGGTCCACATCAAGAGGGCTGTGTTTCAATAAAATAGTTTGTTTTTTTATTACAGTATTCATTTCTCAGGAATTGGTGCCTGTGGTATAGCATACTGAACATCTCTGTCAGTTTGCTATGAGTATGGTGCTGTATCCAGCTCAGCTTAGATTGACTCTGACAGGCAGGTTCAAGATTCAAAGCAGCCTACATCCTGTATCATTTCTACTGCCCTGAGGGGATGTAACGCTTGCATTTGCGCATAGGTTATTATATCTCTCTCTGGACATCTGACATCATGTATTATGTCAGCTTCCTAGAATTTTTATCCATATCCCTACTTACTTTTTTTCCACCTGTTAATTTGTTTATTGTTCCTATTCTTTGTTTTAGCAGCGTACAAACTAGTCAAACCTTGTTGTACTGCCCCCCGTTATACCGCCAGCCCAGCTTCCTGCCAGGTTTTGCCAATGTACGAAAAGGAACGCCTGTATAAACAGATCTAGTATTTGCGTCCTCATGAGTTGTACGGTCCTTATTAAACTAATGTGACATACACACTGCACACGGCACCCATACAGTGGCTGCTAGATAATCTTTTCAACACACGACTCTGCAAAGTAGGCCTATTTCTAGGCACTTGCCGATTTTCTCTTGATTTGATCTGATTATGAAATGTTATTTTAAGGCTTTGGCCATTATTTTAAAAAAAAGGAATTAAGTTTTAAAGTTTCCTGGAGAAACTTCAAACAAAGGAGCCAACTCGGCCTAAGAGCAAAATATCTTGCGGCGCCAAGTATTAGCCCAATGACCTAATCGCTGGCGGGGGCCTGAGAGGCTTTTGTATTGTGAGGATTCACATTTAAATCTATATGATAGGTCGAAGGTGGCCCAAGGTCCGATGAGTGTCGGGTTTGAAAAAAAGCAACGTACGTCTGCAGGGCCCTTTTCAATTTGAATTTACTTAAAGTAGCCTACTTAAAGTTTAACTAGAGTTGTACATGATGTTAACTGGTTGGTCCTTTTTTTCCCCCTTGTGCTTGGCAATTGGGCAAGATGGATCTAGAAGAGTCAAGACTGGCTCAAGTTTGTCTCTTGTCTCTAGTCCCTACCAGTCTACCACAAGTGCCCCTAGTCAAGATGGCAGTCGGGGGTATCCGGTTATTCCGCCACCCTCACTGAAACTCCAACTTTATCATTTATGCTTGTCCTAAGGTAGGCGGTATAACGAGGTTTGACTGTAGGTTTGTAATGCTTGTTTGAGGTGATCTGTTTTCCTCACGATATAAGTATAAGAAGTCAAGTCAGTGAAGGAGAGAAACATGAAATGTCCATTTTATTGATTGGGTCTGGGAGTCTGTGAGGCAAAAATATTAAAAATGTTCCTGTTCTAGTTTTAGTGCAATGTAATTGCATGGGGACTGTTGTCAGATCAGACGAAGAAAATATTTTATCTCCGTACGCTTATTGAATTTACATGTATTTTGAGTTTTTGGTTAACAATTCATTACTTTTTTAGGATAAAAATTTGACATGGTAGAAAAAGTCCAACTTATCATTTTGTTTACATTATAAAATGCTAACTATTGGCCAGAAAGCCCTTACAGTACAGCCTTTTACATGACAAATGTTTTAGACTGAAACTTTTGTAAAGGTTGAAATTGAATTATGTGTTGACATTGTTCTGTCATTTTCAGGATATGTTTCCTTTCTTTTTAATGAAGTTTTAAAAAAGAGGTGCTTTTATAAAGCAGGTCTAGCTAGTTGCATGTGTTTATCAAAGTTTTATGGATTTTTTATGAAATGTGTTTACCGGGTACTTGCAACGGGTCAGTAGACAGACTGAGTCTGTGCATACACTTGTGCAACCGAGTTCATTCGGCCTGAGGCTGGGGGCGGTGCCACTGACTGAAGTGTTTTTAGGCCATTTCCAAAAGGGGGACATTTCTCATTCTAATGCACAGTAGAATTGTAAATGGGCTGATCCAACAATGTCATGCTCATGACTGTGCCTGATATACAACAGGGAACTGCTGCTTTTTCTTTCCTATTCCTTACTATCGTCATTTTCCTCTACTTCTTTTGTATGTTTGTCACACACTTGTGACCCCGCTATTTCCGGGGTGCCTTGATAGTCGAAGCAGACTTTGTGCTGTTGAAGCTAGAGAGGTGAGCAGAGTAAGTCTGATTCCCTGAAGGACTTCTCTGATGACATCTACCCCTTTGCGCTCATATAACCTTATAATGCAGCTGCGAGCGCCGTAAAACCTCTACTTTAAAAAAAGAGCCTGGCTTGTCCTTTTTCAGCAGTTGCTGTGGAAAGCTGATGAAATGAATGAAGTTTTAACAATTGGCTGAATAGTGTCACTTGTACATCCTACTTCTTAACGCTCTCTTTCTCAGCTATTTGTGTCGATCACCTTTTGTCTTTCTTTTTCCTAACAGTGGGTGACAGGACAGTTATTGTGTTGATGTGCTTCTTCAAGTAAAAATACGGTACTCAAATAGAATTTCGTCTTTTTTACTCAATGAAAATTGAATATTGTTGTATTTGTATTCCAAATTAAAAAATGTTACAATTACCGTACCAGTTTCTTGTAAATTTGTTTTGTTTTTAGTTGTCTTTGTAGAAAGATAGAGGAGAGAATGAGTGAGGCATCATGTAACATGTAATGGTAGAGTTCTTTTGTTGCATGCATGCAAAAGATGTGAGTATGATTTTTGGCTTTAGGAAGTACAGTGGAGTTTGCTTTAAAAAACCGAATATAGTAAATCCGAAAACAGTGGTAACACCGAAAGAAGATAAAATGTAAAATGGTTCCCAA